CTCGTTAAAAAAAAAAAAAAAAAAAAACTTCAATTCATTCTATTCATTTATTTATTTTGCTATCATTTCATTTTTATTTATTTATTTTGGTGGGGGTAATGGCACCTAGCTTATCTTTTTCTTAATAAAATTAATAATAATCGTCTTTTTAGACTTTTTTTGTGTTTATGTTTGGATGCAAAGCGATGTTAGTCTTTTTATAAGTTGTCAAATTATTATTTTTATTTTTTTACACGTATTTTCTTAAAAAAATAAAAGAATAATGTTATATAAACAAAAAAAATTAATACATAATGTTGTGGCTCATTGTAGAACTTTAACTTCAAAACAAAATACCATTAAAGATAGATTTATTTATAATAATGATATTGTCATATCATTCTTGTCAAATTTTTAATAATAGTTTTATATATATTTAGAATTTTCCCTAAAGATAATATTAAAAATTTATAATTTAACTAGGATATTGCTTCGCTGTTTCGTGATAATATATAATGACAAAAATTTAATATAACATACAAATTAGTCAAAGAAACTCTAAAAGTAAGAAGAAATTTTTTTCAATAATTACACAAGAAATTAGATTTACATGCAGGTAAAAAGATTCAAACTATTAATCTCTAAGTACAAAAACTTTGATTAATCCTAGTCCCACTGATTCTCCTAACCATGTTAAGAAGTAATTATAATCACAAATATGATGATTATTATTTTCTCCTTTACCAGTTAATGTTAACACGTCATCAATCTCAACAACCAATTTGGAGATGTTCAAATTGAAGAATGGTGAGTTTGTCACCTTGCTTTCATGATTATGCAACCCTTCCGGTATTTTAATAAGTCATAATAAGTCAAAGTCTGTACATATAGCCCTATAGTCAAACGGAAGTTTCGGTGACAAACAATTAATTTGACTCAGTATTTTGGGTGTTTGATAAAGGTTTTTTTTGGCTAAAATTTATAAAATGATAAAATAGGTTAAAATAGCTAATCAAACAAAATGTTACGTCAAATTTATAATCATTTTACTTTTTCTCTCATAAACATCATATAATTACAAAAAAATTCAACCATCTTTCAAAATACAAAAATTTTAACTTACTAAAATAGCTTACTAAAATAATAACTTCTAAACACCTACTTTGTATTATGATTCACCATATTTTTAAAAAAGAAGGTGGTGTTAACCAAGGCTTCCAAATGATCCCTACTTTCACTATTCCTCTAATCTCCTGTGAAGATTATTCGGCTCGGTGTATATAAATGTTGCATACAATATCTCAGTTATTGATTAGTGTAAACACTACATTAATATATGACTAAGATATCATATACAATATATCGCACATAATAATGAATAATTTATCACTCTTGTAACCTTGGGGTCTCTACGAGATGGTTTAATTTACAATTATAAATTCTTGCTAACTTTACTTAGCACAAAGATAATAAGAAATGTAATCTTTAAACAAAAAATATTATGCTAAATACTCAACTAGAGCAAGACAATTGTTATGTTTATTTTGTCTTTAAAATTATAAGTCACTTTGTCTAGGGTTTTAATTTGAAATAATAAAACCCGAATATTCTTTATTTATTTATTTTATTATATATATATATATGCTTGTCAATAGTTTTACATCAAAAGTACTACTATTTTATAGGTCTACCAAGGGCTGCTAAGTATGGGATTATCATTGGAGTTGCAATACCTGGGTCTGTTTGCCTTATTGGGCTTTCATGTTACACTTAGCAGGATCAAGAAATACAATCAACAACGCCAAATTGAAGCTCAACTCTCTAACTGGACTCCACAGCCTATGGTAATCATAATGGGCCTCGATCGGCCCACCATAGAGTCCTACCCAACGACTGTGCTCGGTGAAAGCGGGCGACTTCCCAAGCCCAATGATGGCACTTGCCCAATTTGTTTGGCCGAGTACCAGCCCAAAGAAACCTTGAGAACCATACCAGAATGCAATCACTACTTTCATGCTAATTGCATAGATGAATGGCTCAAGGTGGCGCGTCCGTTGTGCCGGAATTCACCGGGCGGATCATCGGTGGCTACACCTCATTCGTCAACATCATTGTTGCCGTCGTCAATGCAACTTTACTCGTCAACGTCATTGCTATCCCCATTGTCGTTGTTGACGCAATCATAAATCAAATCTTATTCCATATTTTTTATCAATAATGTCATGTGTATATTTTAGGGGAGAAAAAAAGTTTGAGTGTTTTTTTAAAAAAAAATTATTTTTATATACATAGTGAAAACGATTATAGTAATCCTAAACTAAAATGTGTAATTTTAATTAGGTGTGTTTGATACCCTATTGGTATATAAATTTTTTTCCGTATGTTTGGGCATAGTTTTGGATAATTTTATTTGTAAACACCAATTACCTTAAGTTCACATATTTGATGAAATTTTTTCTTAATATGATTTTATTCTAAAATAAAGATATCATAATACTCTTATCATATTCCACTCAAACCATAATTCTAAACATCACAACCATGCTTCATCACGAGCGCCGCCTCTCTCCTCCGCCATCCCTTCTTGCCACATATTTTTTCTTTTGTTTGAGACCACCCAACACAAACCCTTGCAGCAAAGCACCTATTTTCATGGTTGCATGTGGAGGTTTAGGGTGTAAGTAGAAGAGTTAGAAGTGGCGGCAATGACAATGATAGAGGGGAGAGAGTGGCAGCAGTGACAACGATAAAGGGGAGAGAGTGACGGCAAAGACAATATAAGAAGAGTGAGTGGATGAAAGAAAATTAGGGTTTTTAAATTGAAGATGCAATGATTATTGAAATAAAGAGATATATATTGAGATTTTTATTTTTATTTTTTTGAGATGCAAGAATTACACTGGTAATCCTCATATTTGTATCCCTAGTGCCATTTTGATTCATTTATTTTTAATTGACTTAATCTTAACCTTTTAATTTTAAATTTTAAATTTTGTATCAATTTGGTCAAGTTGATAAAATGTTAGGGTTTTTGATAAAAAAAATAATCATGGAGATAGGGGTATTTTGAAAAGTAAGTTAAAAGTTAATTTTTTTTTCCAAAAAATGTTTAAAAAAAATAGAAAGGTGATATGACTAAAAAAAACTAAAAAGTCAAAAAATTAATTTTTAACTAACTTGTCAAAATAGGCCTTAGTTGAGGTTAACTAATTGAGTTAAAAAACTTTATAATTTTGCCTTTAAAAATTGTTACATGTTGTTTATTTGTATACTTTTCATTTAAAAAATTAACAATTTAATCAACTAAATCAAATTAAGATAAAATCATAAATTCATAATCAAAATAAAGTCAATTAGAATTAAAGGACCCAAATATAAGGATTATTACTATAATTTGCTCAATTATAAATTACAAATTATTTCAATTATTTTTTTAATTTTTATTTTTGTAGCAAGATACTCTGTGTGCCGTTTTGGGAACATTCACAAAAAGCAGCGTTTTTATTTTATGGGAAAAAATGCATGCTTTGCAAAACGCAACAAACATCATTTGGGAAGAGGTAAAACGCAAGTCTATCAAATTACATAATTACCCTCCGTAAATTTTAATATTACAATTTAAAAAACAAAGGGTCAAACACACATGGGAAAAATGTAAATTTCACAAGTTTAGTAAAGATATTTTGGTCATTTTAAAGTGATCTGACACCATAAACAAATATTAAACTAAAAAGTAAAAAGTCAATTTTTTACCAACTTCTTAAATCACTTTTCAAAAAAATTAAAAATTTGATAAAAAGTCAAAATCTAACTTTTTACCAACTTTTCAAAACACTCCTATATAAATTATTTATGAACCTCTCCAATTGTGGTTAAAGACTAGAAGCCCAACCTTAAATAAGTTGGTAAAATAACGATTTGGGTGACTTAAGATTTTAGATTCAAAATTTATACTAAGAGGTTGTTTGGGATGTTCTAAATAAGTGTATTTTTTGACTTTTTATAAAACAATAATGATAGAGGGCCACAAAATCAGTGGCTCAAATGGCTCAAAACTGTCAAAACGACGTCGTTTTGGGCGCAAAACGACGCAAAACAACGTCGTTTTAACAGTTTTGAGCCATTTGAACCATTGATTTTGTGGCCCTCAAACAATTTTCTTTACAAAATATGAGTTGGGTTTAAAGTGACATGGTAGAGAGGTGATGTGACTTAAATAAGATGATGTGACTTAAATAGGATAGTGACTTTTTGACTTTTTTTGAAGATGCCAAACTTAACCTAATCTTTTTATAGCTCTCTTGACTGAAAATAAAAGGTGAGTGATGGATTTCTCGATATTTTTTTCAAATTGACTTTTAGGAAGTAGGTTATAATCAACTTCTCGGATTATAACCCACTTCCTCTCTCACAAAAAAGCTGCTTATAAGTAACTTTTAATCAAAAAGCTGATTATAACCATCTTTCCAAAATAGCCTTAGAAGGTCGGCTTATAAATGGCCCAAATTTTGAGTCCTGAATAAATAATAATAATATTAATAATAAAAAAAGAAAAATTCTTTATACCTCGAGTTAAATTGTCTCAAATAATTTAAATTTGTCTTCATCATAAATCAGTCAAATAACCGGATGAAATATTTATGGGCAAATTACAAACACCCCTTGAGGTTTGATAAAAATACAAATTCTTCTTGAGGTTTGAGAAATTACAAATTGCCTCATGAGGGTCAAATTTTTATAACAAACTAGGAAAAATTATGAGGGAATCTGTATAAAAATAAAAATCTCAGGGATAATTTGTTATGAAAATATAAACCTTAAAGAGCGAGATTTAATTCCTCAAACTTCAATAAGGAATTTATATTTTCACAAAATTTCGTCGAAATATTTGTAATTTGTCCAATATTTATCTATCGTAATTATTACCATATCGACAACATCTATTAATCTTTTTACCGATCGACATATCGAATAACCAGCAGAATAACCGACCAAATAAAATTCAATCGATTCGAGACCAGTTGAAATTCGATAATAAAAAAAAACGGAAAAAAAAGAAGCCCTGTCGAGGGCAAACGAACGAACGATCTGAAGAGAGGGCATCTCACTGAAACCTTAAACCCTTGCTTCCTCCTCCTGGATCACCACACCCTCTCTCTCTAACCACTTAGGTTTCAGTTTTACGATTCGTTTGCTAATTTCTCTACCCTTCACAGCTGGGTCTTCGCATCAATGGCGTACAGGCGTAGTATCTCAACAAGATTCACCCTCCTCGCTCGAGAACGTTTCACCCTTTCAATTCCACTCATTCATTGCGACGACAATGATCACAAATCCCACCAAAAAGATCGAAATTTTAACACTCTCCATCAACACCAATCCTTCGGAAGCCGAATCAACACTTTTGCAGGGTTTAATACTTCATTTCAAGACCAGAGATGGTCTCAATTCTCTATTTCTCCGATGCTGGGATCGGTTTTGGGTAGGCACATGTCCACGGCTGTCGGCGAAGGGGCTGACAAAATTGAGTATATGGCCGATGTTGCCGAAGTGCTTGCCGATAAAACTGCTGAGGTTGTGGCTTGTGCTGCCCCTGCTGCGAATGAAGTTGCGATTGCCGCTGCGGATTCCGCTTTTCCTGTGGCAGCTTTGCAGTATTTGATCGACAATGTTCATTCGTTTACAGGATTTGAATGGTAAGGAGCTGTAATAGAAGCATTATATTTATAATTTGTATTGGAACTTGGATTCTGTGTTCTTGTAAAGTTGGTTTATTTGTATCTGTCATGAAAATGGTGAGTCACTTGTTAGGAAAATATTGGGTTGTGCGATTTCGGATTGAGAAAGTCATTTTTCTCAAGGCACTATAGGCGCAGCTGAATTGTGGTTGGAAATTTTGAACTCCTCACAAACAAAATTTTGATAGGTTTTAAAGAAGTAAGAACAAAGGAGCAGCACCTATCCTCTTTGTAACACTAATCCCTGTCATTTTGGGGGGGGTTAAGACTGACATATGTGTATGTGTGTGTATATGTACTGTTATTTATTGCTTCCAAATTGATAATTTAGTTGTTTGATTGTTCAAATGTGTATCTTCTTTTGGACAATGTAGTACAATCTGAATTAGAGTAACTTGTTGGTTTAGTCAAATTGGGTAGCGGCATAAGCAAAAATATTTTGCTCAAGGGCCTTGCTTCAATATATATGTGGAGTCATGTGTCTCACTAATAGCCACCCAGTGTACATAAAAAAAGTCAAGCTAAAACTGGAGTGTTGGCACGGCTAACTTCTTTTTGCAAGCCTTCCACCCCCTCCCACGGTTGTCATTATTTGGTGAAGGAGGTCTTTTAGTGGATGATGAATCTAGAGAAGAATAATAAAAATATATGGAGCGGTGCTCTTGCATCTCTTTTAGTGCATATGGAAAGAATGAAACAGGAGGATCTTCAGTGCAAAGAGCTTAGTATCATTAAGCCCAAATGTATGATTCTTACATCCCTTTTTCTATCCTATGCCCCTTATATCCCTCATACTACCCATTTCGTACATCCCTTTTTCTTTCCTATTCCCCCTGTATCCCTCACTCAGTAGTAGGAATCGTCTTAGATGGTGACGACTCTGAGGAAGAAGCGCGATTCTACGTTTTTGAAGAAGAATCGCGATTCTGAGGAGAGAGAAATGCGAATATGATGCAAGAAGAAAGCATTCTTGAGAGGGCAAGGAGAGAATCTGGTCGCTAGCTTCGATCCTCTGTTCAACGACTTCGATCTCGCGCCTTTTGACTTCCCCTTCGAAGCCCTAGTCTTTGTCCTTCTCTTCTCTTACTGTCGATCTCTGTTTGCTTCTCTCTCTCAATCTATTCTCTGTTCTCTCTTCCTCTCCCTCTCCCTCTCCCTCTCCCTCTCCGTTTTCATATTTGTTTTATAATATAATTTATTATAAACAATATAATTTTTATATCTAAAATAAAAAATTATTTATTTTATCATACATAATATAATTTTTATTTGTTTTTTCTTTTTTTAACATAATTTATTATTTCTTAACTTTTTAACATATAATAAATAAAACAAATCATTTAATTGTTTAAAAGAAATATATTTAAATCATATATAATAAAAAAATCTTAAAAAATTTATAAAATAAAGAATCTAATTTTTATTTTTTATTCATTTTAACATAATTTATTATTCCTTATTTATTATAATAAATAAAATATAATTAATAAAAATAATACATAAGCGCTCCTAATCTACGGCTCCTCTAAGTGGCCGCGTTCCCCCGCTCTCGCTCCGTGCAACTATTATCCCTCATACTAACCATTTCTTACGTCCATTTTCTTTCATATCCCCCTTCTATCCCTCATACTAGCCATTTCTTACGTCTTGTTTTCTTTGTTTTGCCCCCTCTATGTCATTTTGGTCTTATTTAGTTCAATGGTCAATGTGAGCCCTTGGTAGGAGATCCCTAAGAGTTAGGAGTCTTGTGTTCTGCCACAATATGACCTCGAGCAGTATTGCAATATCCCACTAATGAGGGAGGGATGGTATCTCTGTTGTAATCTTGTATAAGGCATTCATTCAAAGATGTTTTCTGAATCCAAGTGCCCCCTAACTGTGGTTGCCATTATGAATATGAAATCACCATGTTTTTAAAAGATGCAACATATAATTTGATGGTTTCGAATCCAGAATACTGTGAAAGTATTAATGATATGTGATTTGACAGAAGAAAGTGTTTTATTCCATTCAGGTGGGCATCCATAGTTGTGACGACTCTTCTCATTCGAGGGGCAACAATTCCACTTTTGATAAACCAGCTCAAGTCTACTACAAAATTGAGTGTAAGATCCGTTACTTGTTCCCACGTTAAGTTTTACTTGTTTCTGTGTGCTAATGTATGACAAGCCAATAAGCACTGATCCTTCATGTTGAGTGAAATTGTGAAAGAATTTGGCCGTAATCTGAAAGTAATAGAGTTCATTAATTCCAATAATTTTCTTATTTATTTTTCTTAAAAAATTGAATTTGTATTTTTCTTTCCATGCATGTGGTTTTAGGAATGATATGTTATAAAATTGTAAAGACCAAAAATGGAGGAATGCTTTTTCTCCAAGAAGTAAGGGAAAAAATGGAGAAGAAAGGGGAAGGCTAAAGTGAATTTCAACGTAGCATCATACATGTTTATTTTCTTGTAAGCCCATGGTGCCTCTAAATATAAACCCATGAATTTTTTTCTATAAGTTTATAGATATAATCTAATTATCATCAAGTTACGAATGGCATTTTTAGAGAAGGTAGAACACTTTTACAATTTGAATCACTTTCATTAATGCATTTGATGGCAATAGAGTAGTTCATCTCAATTAGAACCTTATGAAAACTTCTAATGGCATTCTTCTAGTTGTAAGATGAACAGAGCTTTTGAAGAGGATTAACATCTAGATTGATGTGGCAATGACAATTTTGTAATTACCTTGTGGTTTGAAAATTTGTATAAAATTTCTTTTTCTATAGCATTTCTCTAGTTGATATCATGTTCCCCATATTGTTTGGGCTTGATTCCTTATTGATTCTCATTTATCATTTTTTCTCTCATCGTGTTGGAGATTAACACTGCATATTTATGATTTGCATTTTTGTGCAGCTTTTGAGGCCACAATTGGAGGAGATTAAGCAAGAGATGCAAGATAGGGTATGGGCAGCCACTGATTCTCATTTATCATTTTTCTCTCATCGTGTTGTTAATTAGAATATGGACCAGCCACTGATTTCATGATGGTAAATTTTATGCATGAGTGTTTGGTCCTACTCACTGCCTTCTGCCTAGGACACTCGTTGACTTAATACAATCTAGGTCGTTGGATTCTTTTTTATAATACCATAATTCCTTGGTAGTTATTGAACCAATCACTTCATTCGTGTTGGGACAGATTAATTTTGATATTAGACCCTGTACGGGTACTTTTACAGTTTTACCTACATAGGATATGTCAACACTTGCAGATTACCTATGGATACCATGATTTTTAACTGCTTAATTTTTCATAGTGGATGCTACTATGTGGGTTTTAGACGCAACTTTTGTAGAGTTCTTATCCTCATCACTCCTAAATTAAATTGCTTTTGCAATTTATGTTCTGTTGTTATTTTCAATATTTTGGCTACTTCTTGCCCACAAACTTGTGGATTACCCGAGGGATGGAAATAGGCAAACTGATAAATTCATATGGAATCTGCATAGGATCCTCTGTAACTGTGTCATGTTTAATTTAAATTTTGATCTATCTATATTTTTAATTGGTATGCATCTGTTTCCTGGTGCAATTTTCTGAAAGTTATATTAAATTATAGAAATCGAGAATATTTTATAAATTCCTAGATTTGCTAGAAATGAGCTGCAGTGGTGATTTATTGATCTTATTTTGGTTCAAGTTTTATTAGTGGGTCTTATAAATGATTTTTAGGTCTAGAAAAGTCTTAGAGGTGAAAGTGTCAAAGCCCTTTTTTTAAAAGTCCTAGCTGTACTACGGGAAAAGACAATATATATGCAAAAAAGGACATGGCTTGAGGCCGTCAGAATGTACTTGATTGCTTGGGACTTTATATAACTCTTTGCATAGACCTGATTGGTAAAGAAGGATCTGTGTATCCCACCCTAGATGATTAGGATTACATCGTGGTATAAGAAAGGCCAAGCAATCTATACCTATGGAAATGGTAATCTTTTTGTTTAATCCTATTGGCATGGGATTTTGTTATTTGAAATGGGATTCCTGACAAAGGAATTGCCCACTCCTTGTCTATGGTTCTTGCCATCCAAATATGGCCATAAATTTGTCTTCCTCTTCTTCTTCTAAAATAGCAAAAACCCCTATTTCATCACATAATCCCTTCCTTGTCAAGTTTCTGTAAACCCCAAATGTTAACTTTGTTTCGGTCTGCATAGTTAATTTTAACTTCCTAATTAGTTGCTGTTCAGAATTTCCAACTACTTTCTCCATTTCAACAATTTATAACCAATTCCAACTTGCTTATATTTAGGACCCATATAACCTCTCTTCCACCCTTTTAATTTCTGAACTTGCAGGCTTTTTACAATCCTATCACATCACAAAATAGCTGTTGTAGCATAAAAAGTTTTCTATTTCTTTCCTAATCAAATTGGTTTTGTAGCTTGTAAGGAATTCTCTTTACACTTGTCCTATGCATGATCTCTTTTGCCATTTGTTTGTTTGCAGATGTATGTGTTCTTTGGATTTTTTTTCATATCATAGTTATATTTATGTAAAGGGGGATTTGGTGATAGCCCCCTCACTATCTAATTTGTCTTTCAAGAGGACAAGAATTATATAAGTACTTTCAAAACCCCCTAATATTTTAAAACTTGTTTCTTTTACTATATTACCCTCATATCTATCAGTGTATTTCAGAGTAAAATTTTACTCTGTATAAAAGTAAAATTTTACTTTGAATAAGAGTAAAATGTTACACTCTGAAACTAAAAGTAAAATTTTACTCTATATAAAAGTAAAATTTTACTCTGAAAAACAAGTAAACTATGAGACTCTGAAGCTAAAAGTAAAATTTTATTGTGTATAAAATTTTACTCTGTATAAAAGTAAAATTTTACTATGAATGAGAGTAAAATTTTACACTCTGAAACTAAAAGTAAAATTTTACTCTGAAAAATAAGTAAACTGTAAGATTCTGAAGCTAAAAGTAAAATTTTACTCTGTATAAAAGTAAAATTTTACTCTAGTTCTATCAAATGAAATTTGATGTTTACTCTGAAAAATCGATGGAACTTTAAGCTTTGAGCTTTGAATCAGGCCTATAATCCTTGAATCAATCGATGTTTACTTTGAAAAACATTGTATCAGGCCTATAATCTGAAAATTTTAGAGAAATCTCAATTTTTCATACCCCGGTTCTTCAGATTTTACAGATTTTTCAGATTTTTAAAACTTTGAGCTTTCAAAAATCTATATATTCGAATTCAAATCTCAAAACACACAAACACACACATGTCAAGTTTCTGTAAACCCCAAATGTTAACTTTGTTTCGGTCTGCATAGTTAATTTTAACTTCCTAATTAGTTGCTGTTCAGAATTTCCAACTACTTTCTCCATTTCAACAATTTATAACCAATTCCAACTTGCTTATATTTAGGACCCATATAACCTCTCTTCCACCCTTTTAATTTCTGAACTTGCAGGCTTTTTACAATCCTATCACATCACAAAATAGCTGTTGTAGCATAAAAAGTTTTCTATTTCTTTCCTAATCAAATTGGTGTTGTAGCTTGTAAGGAATTCTCTTTACACTTGTCCTATGCATGATCTCTTTTGCTATTTGTTTGTTTGCAGATGTATGTGTTCGTTGGATTTTTTTTCATATCATAGTTATATTTATGTAAATCATATTTTCACTGCAAATTAATAAATAATTTTTTCTCAGGGCATGGAACCTAAAGCCGTGGCTGAAGGTCAGCAACGAATGCAGGCACTATTTAAGGAGTAAGCAACTTTTGTTACTTCTCCATATGCGTGATAGATAACCGTTAGTAGTTGTTTTGATTGAGTTGTCTGTAGTCTTGTTGGAACCAAATGATATTAAAATTTCGTGCACAAACCAGTATTCATTGTTCCAGCTTTAAGTAACTAAAGTTACACTGTATTCATAACCAGATATATTGGTGATAAGCAAATAATTTGACTAGACTGGAAACAGCTAATGTATTCCTTCTGCATGCCTTTTAGTAACCATTACTTTTGCAGCCTAACAGAGGCTTTCTTAGTGTGATCTAGACTATTTACCATTGTTCTATCATCTGACTTCAGTTTAGCAAATATATCTACCGGAAAACATAATTTTGGGTCAAAGTTCACTGAGACAATTGCAATAAGTGATCGTTTTAATAAATCCGTTACAGAACTTTAGAGTTTCAGAATTGCAGATAGAATCTGAACTGAATTTTAGTAGCAAAATCAACTTTTGGGAGGTTTTAGGAATTAATTTGAAGTTTAAAACCATGCATTCTAGATGGAAGATGCAGGATGATGATACTTGTTGAAGTGGTGTTGTCATCCTTGTAATTTACCCCGGGTTTGAAAAGAAAACCAATGCATCTTGCTATAGATTAACATAACTTCCCTCCCGATTTTTAGCAATTTTTCATATAGTTAACCTCACAAGATAACTATTTGGTTATGCTTAGTGGTGGTAGCTTTATGCGAGTAACTACCACATATATGTACATGCTCTCCTTTGGTTTTTATTTTTAAACATAGGTTCAAGTTTCAACATCTTTGCTGTTCCACAAGCTTCCATTTGTTTCTGTGGCTTTTTTTTTTTTTTGAATGAAATTATAATTTGCATGTTGCAGATACGGTGTTACTCCATTTACACCATTAAAGGGTCTCCTTTTCCAAGGTCCTGTCTTCGTCAGTTTTTTCCTTGCTGTAAGATGAATTTCTTTTTCTTGATATTTAAGTGCACCAAGAATCTATAAATTGTTTCAGAAAAAAAATCAATTCAATTTTAACTACCACATATATGTATATGCTCTCCTTTGGTTTTTATTTTTAAGCATAGGTTCAAGTTTCAACATCTTTGCTGTTCCACAAGCTTCTATTTGTTTCTGTGGCTTTTTTTTTTTTTTTTTTTTTGGAATGAAATTATAATTTGCATGTTGCAGATACGGTGTTACTCCATTTACACCATTAAAGGGTCTCCTTTTCCAAGGTCCTGTCTTCGTCAGTTTTTTCCTTGCTGTAAGATGAATTTCTTTTTCTTGATATTTAAGTGCACCAAGAATCTATAAATTGTTTCAGAAAAAAAATCAATTCAATTTTTAATTTTGTCTTTCTCCTTTTTTAGCATTTACCTAAACACCCTATTTGTAGATTTCAAACATGGTAGAAAAAGTTCCTTCATTCAAACATGGTGGAGCATACTGGTTTACAGATTTGACAACTCCAGATAGTATGTATATCTTTCCAGTTTTGACAGCACTGTCATTCTGGATAACAGTGGAGGTAAGTTTATTTTATTTCCCTATCAAACCAAGTTTTCTGTGGTCTCAGATACTCATGCTCTGGATAGTTGGAGAGGGCTTAAATGCCATATAGTGGATATGGTTTGTATTATGATTGAAAAAAGGAAAAAACTCTTGAACAGACTTTTGTTTTCTAATAAAGCTGGCAATGGTCCGTGTTTAGACAAAGGATGTAGACAAGGGTTACAAATTGTTAGATCATCACTAGTCCCCAAACCTTAAGCTGTTAGGAAAGGAGCCCAGCAATGCATATCAAGCTCTCCAACGCTCTCCTCCTTGTGCGTTCTTGTCTTGCACGTGGAGATGCGAACATCCAAACATATGAGAAGCATAATGCAAATGGAGAAACAAATGTTGCCGGAGTCAATTGAGGAGGATTGTACAAATTACCTGTAGTGTTTTGGAGAAGAAGAGGAAGAGTTTGGCTAATGGTGTGATATAAAATGTATCTAAAACCACACATATAGGATGCAATTACTTGTATGTCTTTATGTGCATCTTCATCCTTCAGACGGTGAAGCATAAATTTGGTTGCAGTTCTAGCAAAAAATCTCATGCTTAATTAGGTTGAATATTTCCGGTGATGTTATCTGATGATTAGATGCCGCTAAATGCATCTGTACTAGGTTTATTTTGTTAATAGGTACTTAAATCAATGGTTTTCTGTTTCACTAAGAAGAAACGAATCAACCTGAGTTGGTCGTTATAAATGTTTGTGTTATTTTTTGGCTTTGGATCCTGTAACTCGCCATCATGGGCTGGATATGTTTTTTTTTGTTTCACTCAGTTATTCTTCCTGCTACTTTGTTTTGAATCAGTTTTCTATTAACTAACATCCAACCTTTTCTCAGTGCAACATGCAAGAAGGTATGGAAGGTAATCCTGCTGCTAAAACCATGAAAAATGTTTCAAGGGTCTTTGCTATTGTTACAGTTCCACTTACGATGACTTTCCCGAAGGTACATACTTGTTGGCAACATTATTTGCACAAGCATATTATGTTGTATTTACAGATACTTTCTATCATTAATAGTAATAATAAATAATTCCATATAAATGGTTGAATTCCCTGGTTGGATGGAGGGGTTGATGCTAATGTATGCATATTTCATTTGTTTGTCATTTTGTGCTTCTAGAAACACATACATATATTGCTTTCATTACCACAAACTGGACCGCTCCTTCCCAAAGGAGTAATTATCCTGTATTCTGGAAATACTATGTTGGCAGTGTGTTTGGCAAATATAAGGGGCTAAATGCTTACATGGTTTCTTGTTGGACAAATCATAGAACACCATTGGACAGGCACACAGCCACATAAAGTACCAGACCTATGTTATAGTTTCTGCTACTCAAGGGTTTCAAAGACCTAATTTCTTCATCTCATAAAGGTATTTGTAAGAGCTTTGTCTTTTGGTGAGATTGCCTAAACAAGTTACTTCGTAGAAATTTTATTTTTTCTACTATTAGTAGTTGAAAATTTGAAAGAGTGCATAAGATGTTGATTCTAGATCTTTCTTCAACACATATGGTTTGTATAATATATATATATATATTATTTGTGAATCGTGTAGTGTGGTAAATTGGAAATCTATCCTTTTGAGTATAAAGACATTAAATAGGGAATGAATCAGCCTGATTGTAGTGAAGATGTACTTTGGCATTTAATGTTTGTGGCATGAAAAAACAGAAAATGCTCTAGACAGTGTTTGGTTAGGGAGATTACTTCATGCTGAAATGGAATTAAAGGATTAGTTATGGGGCCCATTTTATTTGTTTGTTATGTGTGTGTGGTGTGGACATAAAACACAAACCCATGTCATACCTAGGACTCTTGTCCTGCTCTTTCCCACATTTTGAAATTATACATTTGTTTAAAGCTTACTAAGGAGATTTTGTACTCATTTTGAAATATTTGAAGAATCTCACATCCTTGTGAAATGTTCTTGAGTTTGTTAGTGTTTTTTCATTTTTGTACTCTTTTTAAAAAAATTCATCACAATTTTTGCTATGATTTTGGCATCATTGTTCTGTTTTATATTCATCTCTTTTGGTTAAGATCAATTTCTGTCTGTGTGTGTTGTGCCAGTTGCTTTTAGTATTTATCTACTTTATTGTAAGTGATTGAATGAGAAGTTCGCGTCCACATTTTAAACCAAGGTCTTTGATGTCATGATATATTTATCTCTGCAGGCTATATTTTGTTATTGGATAACTTCCAACCTGTTCTCGCTTACGTATGGATTAGGTGAGTCTTTCTGGTTCACAATCATTATGAAACGTTTCAATATTTTGCTACACTCATACTAGCCTAGCAAATAGGAAGAAATATGTTCAACAGTAAACCTGTGCTAGGAACACACAAGATTTTCCCATTCTGTGAAAATCTTCTGTGCGTTTAGGCTTTCTTCCAAATACATATATCAGATAACTGTGAGGTAGTGACCCTAGACATGGTCAAATAGTTGTTAATTGTTCGTCCTTTCTGATATCTAATTCTGCGACTTCATTCTACAGTGCTTAAAGTTCCTGGGGTGAAGAAGTTCTTGGGTGTTCCTCAAATACCTGTTGGGCCACCGCCGCCGACTACTGAAGAGAAACCTGCCTTTTCTTTTTTTGAAACACTCAAAAAGTTTGCAGAAGCACAGAAAGTTAATTCATCAGCAATTGAAGCACCAAAGACTGCAGTGAATCCAAGAATATCTTCCTCATCGGTTACGAGTCAGAGGCTAAGAAGCTTAGAGAAGCAAGTGAAGGGAAGAAAGAAGAACAAGAAGAGGTGAACTGATGTTCTTTTATAAAAGTTGAACCATCTAATGCTGGTTATCAGAATAAATGTATTGTTAAATTGGTGATCCATTCAAATTTATTCAGTGAGACAAGGTTTAGAATGCCAGAGAGAGAGAGAGAGAGAGAGAGCTGCTTTTTTGGTTGTTCTGATAGGTTAAATAGTCATAGAAAGTGGTAGTCATTTTGGTAGTTGAATTAGAAAATTTGAGAGTTCTCTCAGCTTTAGCTCTAGTGGGAATAACATATGAAATTTTATTTGGTACTTATATGTTGTTATCAATATTTGATAATTTCATGTTCAATGTCTGAAGCACAAACAAATGCTACTTGATTTCTGTTTACTTCACATTTATTACCCACAAGTTCAATGGGTGTCTCTCTCTCTCTCTCTCTCTCACTTGTCATGAATGTGATTGAGAACATCGAGTTGGTAATTTAATGAAATGATTTTCCTTCTAGTTGACTCCCATTATATAAATAATTTTTATTTAATCTTTTAACTATATATTTTTTTTTTTTAGGAAAGATCTTTAACTCTTTAAATTATCGCCGGCAAGGTTGGACTTTCGAATTTATAGAAATAAAAGATAAATGACATAGAGGCTAAACTTATTAAATATTTTTCTCTCTTATATATATCTATATATAAAAGACAATATTTCACAAAAAAAAGCAAAGAAAAAAGCTTTTTATTTATTTAAGATTTCTTAAATATGACACAATAATAAGTAGAACTAACCATTGTTTCATGACAAAAAAGATTTTTTTATACTAAAGAAGTAGACCTCTCCCTCCTAAATTATTCTCGTGGGGGTTGATTTTTTATTTAATTATTTTGTTTTGTTTGTGTTTTGTGATTCCTATTTGGGTGTCATAAGTGATTTGCAACTACCATAATTGTGCATATTCCACGGGGTTACCCTACCAGCCACACAAGGACTTTGGATATGTATGGCCACTTTTGGCAAAGAGATTAAAAATTATTTTTTTGACTTTTAATCTCTTTTGAGGTATGTTATTTTTTTATTTTTTATATATTTTTTGAAAAAAAATAAAAAAATTAACTTTTAACCTATTTATCAAAACAATTCTATGACTAGTAGGGTTGGCCCTAGCATACCATTAAAAAAAACAACAATGATAGAGACCACTAATTTTGAAACTCTAAAAAGACCACTAATGACATGGCACTCAATAAAAAATAAAAAAAATATAACACCAAAGCCAAAACATTAAATCATTCCTGGTGGGACCCACTGCCACATCATTAGTGATAGCACTAATTAGTGCTCTCACACATTTTCCTAAAAAAAAAAAAAATTTGTTAACAAAGTAAAAAAGTCATCAAATGAAAAAATTAGAAGTTAGAGTATCCGCATCAGTCTTAGCAAATTTTAAGTCAAATTATAACCAAAAATTCACTTTTGTATTTTAGCTAACTTCCTTTTTATGTACATACTCCATCAAACTCTCTATTTAAAAATTTTATTTTATTAAAATATTATTTTTAATTCTTTTTATCATTTTTAATTTAAATATATGATGGATTAGTCCCCATCCCCCTCTCTTTCGCCCCCTCTTTTCTCTCCCTCAAGCCTACTCGATCTTTGTCTTCCAGACATTTAACTTCAACCAGCACTCTCAAGTCCATCAAAGCCATGACTACAACAACATCCTCTAGATTTTACAATCTTTGTCTCCCAAACATTTAACTTTTACCAGCACTCTCAAGTCCATCTACTGTTGATGACGAAGGTACTGTATACAAATCTCTGCGTTTTTGTGTATGTGTGTGTGTGTGTGTGTGTGTGTGATTATGATTTTGAATTTGGATTGATAATGAATTTTTTTACTTGCGATGATTATTGATTCACGATGTTTTAAGATCGAGGCTGAAGACAGAAAGGAGGAGGGAGCGGAGAGAGGTCGACCGGACAGACAACCGGTCAGGCCAATTTTGGACATTTTCTTTCTTTGTTACAAGGAGCTCACGGCACATCGAGGAGACATCAGGGTAAACGACTGGCCATGCTATTTGCCCCAACTTTGCCTTAAAAAATATAATAAAAAATAGATTGTCGTATGAACGGTGCCTCAACAAATCAGTTGAGGCACTGTAGCATTTACAAAATGAATGAAGAGAGTAAAGAGTCTGATAGACTTGATATTCACAGCTTTTCTCTCTACAATAGCTTCAAAGCCATTATAGAGAAGCTGATGTGGATGCTTTTATATTTTTTTTACTCACAAAAAATATATTTTTTAATGTATCGTGTTATTTAAAAATTAAGAAGATTAAAAGTTGTGGGGACATAAATTTTGAATGACGACACGTGGCCGAGGTGCCACCGAAGTGCTAGCCGGGGTGCCACGTGTCTTGGTCATGATGCTGAGATGATCTCGGCCTAGCCGAGATTATCTGCGAGAATATCGGAATCCGGGATAAGAAGATAAGGGACAAGAGTCCTAGAATAGGAGAAGACTTCAGTTTCGGTAAAGATAAGACTCTTAGAGAGTTTATCCTAATCCTACTGGGAGTCCAAGATTAGCAGTAATCCTAAATCCATTAGAGCTAGGCTTCTATTGGGACTAGGATTGTGTTGGCTATAAAAGGGAGGCACCCTTATGGGTCTAAGGTATGTCTTTTATGTTTGGTCTAGTGAGTTAAGCACTATTGGTTATCTTTGAGAGATATTTTACTAACTTGATTGTCGGTGTACCCTCGGGTAGACGAACCACCGCAGGATTCTTGTCTTTCTGTGACAGGTTGTTTGGGCTTAATCTATTCTGTCGGTGCTCTCCAGCTGAGTTTTCCTTTTTGGTTGTGTGGTCGGAAATCAACACCCACAATGTGGCGCCGTCTGTGGGAAAGAAAGGAGAATAGATGGCCAGCAACGGACAAAAAGATAAGGTTGGGAACGACATCCCTACTGGAAGTGGGAAACATGTAGACCTTGATGTCGAAGAAGACAACTGCAACGAAAAGACTCGTAATAAGAATCACGGAGAAAAGGATGTCGGCTAGGAGGGCGACGTGCCAAAGAAATCAGACCGAGGCGGGTACTATAACGAAGACGATCTCCAGGTATGGAAAGATAGGTGCCTACAGAGAGGCGGCGAGATGAAAGGAATGGCGGACAAATTGGCGAACCTGTAAACAGTCGTCAATTTCATGATGCAGAACAACGTCAAGCAGCCACCGTTCCCGTTACAAGATACGCCGATTCCAGCGGCCAAGAAAGATGCCCAGAAAGAGAGGCAGAAAACTGTTCTTGCAGTCCCTCCGCATGACAAAACTAAAGGACATTCTCACCGGTCTTCATGGGAGGTCGGGCGTGGAGAATCAACGAGAAGAGAATCCCAGAAGACACATCGAACCCAAGAAAACTGCACCAGAGAACATCGGGATGTTCAGGGGAAGGAGCTCTGTTTCGACACGACCAATGGAGGGAAGTCCAAAAGGACTTACAATGACACTGGAAGTAGTGCACCAAAAAGGCTGAAATCTGGAGATAGCTGAACTTCTGGACGGACCAAGGAGGGTCTGAAGGATGACCTCCAAAGGAAGCAGCAAGAAGCCAAGGTAACTTCCCCGGTCAAGCCGAGAACGCCGTTCTCGGTAGAATTAGACAAATTTGAAGCCACGAAGAGGTTCCACATGCCGAGATTCCAGATATACGACGGTAAGTCGGACCCTAACTTTCACGTCGGCTTGTACCTGAACTCGATGGCATTATACATCAGGAATGAGTCGTTGCTCTGCAAAGTGTTCCCCTCGTCATTCGGGAAAATTGCATCGGACTGGTTTCATAAGTTGCCGAAAGGAACTGTGAAAACTTGGGAGGGCCTGGCCGAGATGTTTATGGCTAGGTTTGTGACGAACAAACTACAGTCGTTGAGGGTGGATTCCCTGATGGCTCTGAGAATTAGTGAGGATGAAAGCCTTAGGGCCTATGCCAAAAGGTATTATGAAGTGTTCAACCGAATACCCGATTGCAACCAAGAGGTGGTGGTCGTGTTTTTCAAGAATGGCTTGAAAGATGATTGTCTACTTCGAAGGTTATTAGCAAAGACATTACCAAAAAACATGGAGGAGCTTATGGCCAGAATTGATAAATATGCCAGAGCCGAGGAAGACACATTAGGGACAAAGGCGTCCAAACAAGAGAAGAGAAACGGTTCGCTGAAGCGAAGCTAAGATAACACTGGATACAACAAACAAGAGCTCAGATCCCGGATCCCAGATCCTAGAAGACATGATCTCGGCCTAGATGGTTAGGTCCGAGAATACAAGAGCTCAGCCCAAGAGCTCAGATCCCAGATCCCAGATCCTAGAAGACATGATCTCGGCCTAGATGGTTAGGTCCGAGAATACAAGAGCTCAGCCCAAGAGCTCAGATCCCAGATCCCAGATCCTAGAAGACATGATCTCGGCCTAGATGGTTAGGTCCGAGAATACAAGAGCTCAGCCCAAGAGCTCAGATCCCAGATCCCAGATCCTAGAAGACATGATCTCGGCCTAGATGGTTAGGTCCGAGAATACAAGAGCTCAGCCCAAGAGCTCAGATCCCAGATCCCAGATCCTAGAAGACATGATCTCGGCCTAGATGGTTAGGTCCGAGAATACAAGAGCTCAGCCCAAGAGCTCAGATCCCAGATCCCAGATCCTAGAAGACATGATCTCGGCCTAGATGGTTAGGTCCGAGAATACAAGAGCTCAGCCCAAGAGCTCAGATCCCAGATCCCAGATCCTAGAAGACATGATCTCGGCCTAGATGGTTAGGTCCGAGAATACAAGAGCTCAGCCCAAGAGCTCAGATCCCAGATCCCAGATCCTAGAAGACATGATCTCGGCCTAGATGGTTAGGTCCGAGAATACAAGAGCTCAGCCCAAGAGCTCAGATCCCAGATCCCAGATCCTAGAAGACATGATCTCGGCCTAGATGGTTAGGTCCGAGAATACAAGAGCTCAGCCCAAGAGCTCAGATCCCAGATCCCAGATCCTAGAAGACAGTTCATGGTACCTCACTCCCCTGTTCCACAGAGTGCACAAATAAGACATCTAAAAGCTTAAACAGTTTCTCAACATCCAGTTAACAGCAAGAATTTTAGGACAAAATTCCACTTACTTCTGAGCAAGGACAGGACTAGATTTCATACATCCGATATACACCTGTGGCTTTTTCCTGTATCTTGCCAAAGTTTCTCCTAGTGTTGCTGTAAAATTTACAACATCTTACCCAATGCAACAAAATAAATAAATAATTTGTAGAGTTACAAACATATATAATTTCATTTTCAAGTAAAACTTGTTGAATCAATCATATCAGTCGTAGATTTGAATTTAGAGGTTCATATGAACATGGGCATCTGAAGTTTCTACCCCGATTGGGAATTTAAAAGTTGTAACACATTGAGTGTCTTGCATCTATATATTGGATTTTAGACCTTCATGTATGCATTTTATTTTTATATCAAGTACTAAAAACAAATTTCTTACCTATATTTACATGAACATCATCATCAACTTTGACATAAAAATCTGCATCCTACGAAGCAACAGCAGCAACAAAACATGACTTTGTCTTCACATAAAAATCTGCATCCCACGAAGCTTGAGTCTGCATAAAAACTCAATTCAAGTAAAATTAATACATTAAAGACTATCAAATCTTGTGAATTTAATAGTTTGTTGAACTTAATTAGCAAGAAAAACAGAGTAAGGGTGTTGAATACTCACAGAGGCCGACTATAGGTGATAAATTCGCAAGCTTTGAATAACTTATTCCCTGCAGTGTGAGATAAAATCGACATGAGATCTGGAAAGAAGGTATAGATTTTCTTCTTTGCTATATATTTTTCTGGGATAGTATATGACCCCGATATGTGACATAGAACAAATAGTTTTCCTACCTGTTTAGTTGTGTTTCTATTTGTAGTTTTTTTGAAAAACGAAGACAATGAAAAATTCTAAAAATGACCATCATTTTAATATTTATGATTATATATACATATGAATACTCGAAAATAAGTACTTGTTTAGTTGTGTTTTCATTTTCTGTCATCTGTTTTTCATTTTTGGAAAAATACCCAATAATGTGACATAAAACTGGATAATTTTCCTACATAGCCCTGTTTGGTTATGCCTTTGTTTTCTTTGTTTTTCATGCTTTAAAAAAAAAAAAAAAAAGGAACAATGAAATGTTAAAATAAAAAATAAAATAAAAAAGTGGTTTTTTTAATTGATAAGCAAAAACAGGCTGCTATGAAGAATGAATAATGCCCCTGCTCTCATGAGTCATATCCCCAGTTTGAGGTGAATACACAATGAAATCTATTGAAAATTCATATGCCAAAGATTAATGTTTAGGTAAATTAGAAAGAAATAGGATTTCTGGTGCAATATCTTTATATGACTTAATAGATTGGGGTGTTTCTATAAATGTTAAAATAAAAAATAAAATAAAAAAGTGATTTTTTTCATTGTTAAGAAAAAACGGTTTACGAAAATTCGAAAACTAATTCGTAAAAAGTGGGTTTTGTTCATTACAAAAATTTAATTAAATAAAAAACAGTTCACCAACCAACCTTTTTATGTTTGTTAAAAAAAAAAAACACCAACCTTTTTACCTGTTTTTTGAAAATGACATTATGTGTCCGAGCGTCTCTGATTCTGAAGGCATGATGAAAACATCTCCGCTGGCGTATGCTTGAGAGAGCTCTTCACCTCCTAACATCCCTGTGAATATGGCAGGCATGCCGGAGAACAGCTTTTCGAGATCCTCCCTGCCACGAAGAAATCATTCTAGATGAATAAATTTTGCCCATGGTTCTTACTGGAAAATAAATTCAGGCGATCATCATGGCCCAATTTGAGTATCATTGGATGTATGCAAAAATATAAAAATAAATAATTCATTTCGTTAGACAGCGGTTTGTGGTTTTTAATACAAAGAATCATTTTATACTATATTCTATAGAGATTGTTCCAGCAATGTTGACAAAACTAAACAGCCAATAAGTCCTTAGAGAAATACCTGTATGGTCCATCTCCAATAAAAGCAATTCGTGCCTCCGGTATCTAGTCCATGACACTGTTCAATCATACATCCCAAATGTCAATGGTTACAACTTATAATAATTATGAAAAAAAACATTATTCCGTCAATATTTTGCAAGTAATATTTCCTAAATTGCAAAAGCAGAAAATACTTATCATTTGAAATAAAAGAGTAGTACCTTTTGAGTAAATCCAAACTCTTCTCAACTCCTAGTCGTCCAACATGGACTATCAATGGTCTCTCGGGCTCTCCATTGCTGATTAAAAAAAGAACAATATATTAACATTTGGAGGAAACTCATATTACATGGCAATGAAATTTTAAGGATTGGAAGAAAGCCATACCTTAGTCTTATTCGCATTTCTTGAGAGCGATATTTGGGATGGAAGCTTTTGGAATCAACACCCTTATTCCAGAGACGAATCTTGTTACCTGAAAACCATCTCCTATCCAGCCGAAGGAAGCAGAATTTAGGTGAATTTAGGGCCAAAATTCAGAATTCAAAATTTAGAATCCCAAAAACTCATTTAGGATTCAAAATTCAAAATTCAAAATATTCAAAATTCAGAATTCAAAAAGAGAAAAACACAACAGCGCGAGTTCGAAGTCTTACCTTGCGAGTGGGAGTTCGAAGGGAGCCGAAGACAGCCAAAAACAGACAGAACCTTGAGCCAAAAACAAACCCAGTAAAATGAGATCATATACAGAATGTAGAGGAATAAAGGAACACAATGGAACACAATGCATTTGACTACAGGAATAAAGGAACACAATAATAGAGGAAAACTCAATAACAGAGGAGATAACACATTGTATCTAACTAAAAAAAATACAACAAAGAATAATCAAGATAATCCGAAAAAAAATTCTGAAATCAACAAAGAGTCAAATAGACAGAATAGGGAGATAGCTTCCAAGGACTCACATGAGTTATTGAAATTCTGAAATTAACATGAGATAACACATGAGTTATTGAAATTATGTTTCCTTTATTTTAGCATGAGTTATTAACATGAGTTATTTAACAGGAAATCAACACCTTACACACCATGTATCGAGCAACAATTGTATTTATACCCTTAACGCTAATTATAACCGCCATTAATCTTTCAGTGAATATTTAAACATGAGACCATGTTATCTTGAAGAGAAAAATCTACAAATGATGGTTAGTTTGTTACAAAACAATTACTTACCAAGTCAATGTGTTTTGTTTTATTCATTGTTTAATTACTAATTTTATTATTGGTGCTTTTCTGCATTTGCATTGTGATTTGTAGGATGTATAATATGAAAAAATTGATAAGGAAGTTTCCACACAACAAAAGGTAAAACAGGGGGTAAAAAGGAAAATGTGAAGTTTGAATTCTAGAGTCATTGACTTCTGTGCAAAATAAAATCCTTGACTGCAGAGACTAAGAATGGGAAGATTATGAATTAAAAAAACTTAGGAAACTGAGATCACATAATGCAATAGAAATACAGCATTAACCAGTTTAGTTTGTTATCTATTGAAAGGAAAGCACAAAATAAACTCACTTGTTATCATGCCAGCCCACCAAAGTGGCTCATTCAAATATGAATAGCCTCCAACACCTGATGTATGTTCATCCAACTTCAAAGTGGAAAATTGAACAATTTAAGGCAGACTATACAATAAGTAACACTAAAAAAAAAGAAAAAAAAGATTATACAATAAGGCAGACTAAACATAATCTATGTTTTGGCCATTACCGTAGCCAAAAAAAATGACAGAACATAACAGTATATTGAGAATGGAAAAAGAGCTCTCTCTTTCTCTCTCTCTCTCTCTCTCTCTTCTTTTGTGGTTGTTCAGGGGACCAGGAGAATTTGAGCAAAGCTCACACTTCAATGATTGTGTCAAATCATTGATGAAGTTATGATTTTCCACTTAAATAAACTCTGCCTTTTAGTAATGGAAACACAGATTTTAACACAAAATTGACTGAGTTACACCGTGTGTTCCATTGATTTTGTGTTCCATTGTGTTCAAATTGATTTCAGAATTTGATTACAGGAAGTCAAATTTGATTTCAGAATTTCATGACTATAGGAAGTCAAATTTGATTTTGTGATTTCAGAATTTGATGACTATAGGAAGTCAAATTGTTATATATAATACTATGCGTTCCAATTCCCCACACATTTAACTCCAGCTGCGGTTATAATTCATTCAACAACACTTTCTTTGTCTTTCTCTTAGCATAGCATGATTTCAGAATTTAACACACATTTAACACGTGATTTCAGAATTTAACACACATTTAACTCCAGTTTCGATTATTTTAGCATGAGTTATTAACATGAGTACTCTTTAATTTTTACTCAAGGCACGGTGTAAAAAACAGGAAATCAGTCAACCTGAGTCACTTTTATTATTCCGAAATTCATCTCTGGAGTGATAAACTAACCCAGCAGAATTTTAAGGCACAAAGTCAGAATTCAAGGCAGCAGAGTTTTAAGGCACAAAGTCACAAATGTATGAGTTTTAACCCAGCAGAAATCACTTGAGATATGAAACTAAAAACTAAGAAACAATAAGGAAATTATTTACACTTGAATAGAGAGAGAGGGAGAGAGAGAGAGAGAGAGGGAGAGGGAGCACAATGTAGGCCCCCAAAGGCTCAAATGTTGAAGAAATGAAGCCCCTTCCCACAATTACCAGAAAATCCTTCAATGATCAACCTAGAATAAACAATGAAAAAATACAAATGAACAAATAATGGAAAAATACATTCACATTCATGATCTGTCTATCTCTCGCATCTAAATCTTCCTCAATTTTCAATAACATCTCTCAACCCTAACCCTAATTCCTTATTTATCCATTTCCCAGATCCCCAATTTCTCTCTCTTTCTCTCTCTCTCTCTCTCTCTATATATATATATATATGTGTTTGTACCTATCAGTTTTGGTCGTGGTGGTTATGGCATGTGTGAAGAGGGTTAACAGATCGGCGTCAGTGGCGTTCGCACCGGACCCCCCCATACATGGCGGTGAGGACGATGGCCTTCGTTGGTGAATCTCGAGATCTTCGAGGTCGATTTCCAGTCCGACGATCGTGAGCTCCCCGTTGTCAGCAATTTAATCGGAAGAATAAGCAACACTATCATTTGCACGAACAGAACCAGCAAGAAATCTATCAGACAAAAACCTCACAACCCAACAGAGAGAGAAGGAGAGAGGTAGATATCAAGGACTGGAGAGCAGCGTTGGGAGCTAGCGAAGATGGAGGGTAGGAAAGAAGAAGAACCGTTGGATGAGAGAGGAAATGGTAAGGGAGAGACGTGTTTAGGCAGACGTGAGAGAGAGAGAGAGCAGAAATTGTTTGGGCGGTAAAAAAATTGATGACAACCGTTGGATATTGATTGGGGATTATCTCGGCCATTGGATCAAAATGTATCTCACATACATTTTAAGACATTTTCAAAAAACCTCTTGGCTTATTATATAGATACATATATTCAAAACTCAAATCTGTGTTTAAAAAAATATGTATAACCAAACAACTCCACCTGCACTCTTCTCCACGTGGTCATTGCGAACTCGATGGATCTTCAAATTGCAATAGAAGCTTCAAATTGAGTCTAATTTCGCTTCAAGATAGCAAACACAAGTCTGATTTCGATTCAGTTAGCGAAGTCGATCTGCAAGTCGTTCGAACTTAGAGTTTGCAACTTTTAAGCCAGATGCAAACTGAAAATCGCAATTCCAATTAGAATTTGAAATCCAAAGTTCTCATCGAAGTTGACTCAAAGAACAACGAGTCACAAGAGAGAATCCAAGGTCAGATCGCGAAGGACTCCAGTTTGTAATCGCGAGTTCCAGAAGCTTGAATTCGGGTTGATTGTCGAATCGGATCAGTTTTGTGATGAAGTCCTTGGTTTCTTAACAGACGCAAATTAAATTAAAGCTTCAAACTAAGCTTCAATTCAAATACACAGGTCGGATTGTGATTGCTTGAACCAAGTCAATGTTCTAGGTCAAAGATTGAATGAATCTTAGGCTTAGATGAACTCGATTTTGGCTGATCAGAGTCATAGAGACCAAGAAGGTGGAGAGAGAGTGGGTGGAGAAGGTGTGAAGATTTAGTTGAGGGTATAATAGTCTGAAAAAATATTTAAATAATAAATTTTGTCCTTTATGCAAGATTTTATAATTATGACGGGGTTTAGAAAATTTAATTTTTTTCTTAGTCCTTTTAATAATGAAAGGAAGGTAAAGGGGGTTTATAGTCAAATTTCCCATAAATTATCGCTGGCAAGGTTGGACTTTTGAATTTATAGAAATAAAAGATAAATGACATAGAGGCTAAACTTATTAAACATTTTTCTCTCTTATATATATCTATATATAAAAGACAAAATATTTCACAAAAAAAAAGCAAAGAAAAAAGCTTTTTATTTATTTAGGATTTCTTAAATATGACACAATAATAAGTAGAATTAACCATTGTTTCATGACAAAAAAGATATTTTTATACTAAAGAAGTAGACCTTTCCCTCCTAAATTATTCTGGTGGGGGTTGATTTTTTATTTAATTATTTTGTTTTGTTTGTGTTTTGTGATTCCTATTTGGGTGTCATAAGTGATTTGCAACTACCATAATTGTGCATATTCCACGGGGTTACCTTACCAGCCACACAAGGACTTTGGATATGTATGGCCTCTTTTGACGAAGAGATTAAAAATTATTTTTTTGACTTTTAATCTCTTTTGGGGTATGTAATTTTTTTTTTTTACATACTTTTTGATAAAAAAAATAAAAAAATTAACTTTTAACCTATTTATCAAAACAATCCTATGACTAGTAGGGTTGGCCCTAGCATACCATTAAAAAAAAAAATAATGATAGAGACCACTAATTTTGGAGCTCTAAAAAGACCACTAATGACATGACATTTAATAAAAAAAAATATATAATACCAAGGCCAAAACATCAAATCATTCCTAGTGGGACTCACTGCCACATCATTAGTGATAGCACTAATTAGTGCTCTCACTCATTTTCCTAAAAAAAAAAAAAAATTTTGTTAACAAAGTAAAAAAGTCATCAAATGAAAAAATTAGAAGTTAGAGTATCCGCATCAGTCTTAGCAAATTGTAAGTCAAATTATAACAAAAAATTCACTTTTGTATTTTAGCTAATTTCCTATTTTAAAATTTTATTTTATTAAAATATTATTTTTAATTATTTTTATCATTTTTAATTTAAATATATGATGGATTAGTCCCCATCCCCATCTCTTTCGCTCCCTCCTTTCTCTCCCTCAAGCCTACTCGATCTTTGTCTCCCAGACATTTAACTTCAACCAGCACTCTCAAGTCCATCAAAGCCATGACTACAACAACATCCTCTAGATTTTACAATCTTTGTCTCCCAGACATTTAACTTTTACCAGCACTCTCAAGTCCATCTAC